AAAGCAATGAACTTGGCTATGAAGGGTCCAAGGAACACGCAGAGGGGCGGGCTATAAATAAATTATTTTTTATTATTATTATTATTATTATTATTATTATTATTATTATTATTATTATTGCAAGACACTGTGGATCCATTGCTTTTTTTGAGGTCTTGAAGGAAACCACTGAGAAACAGAATTTGGGACAAGGGCAATTCCAATCATTCTTAGAGCCCCTATGGCTCGTATTCAGTATCCAGAAAGGCACAGTGCACTCATGCCAAAGCTGCTGGCTCACATAAGATACCCCAAGAAGATGTAACTGTGTATCCCTCTTGTAGAGCTACATTTGACTCAAGCATGGCCTTTTGTATACCTGCCAAGGAAATTTGAGAAGCTCATGTTCCATGGGGGCAGGATTTGTCAGATTCCTGGGTTCAATCATAAACTTCAAAATACCTGGACCTTCATATCTACACCAGGATTTCTAGTGATCTACTGAACTTTACTGAACCTGTTCCTGTTTCTACTCCTGTTAGCGGAAGAATCAGTGGAATTAGCCAGTGTTCACAAATGTACTTGATATTTTAGGGCAAGACAAATGGACTTTTCTGATGTATTGGAGGGGATCTTTGCATATCCCTCCCAGATTATTCACTTTTTATTTGGTCCCATCAATCCAGTTTGAACACTCCTCTCTGACTGAACATGAAATAGTTCTCATGGTTACCCCTGAATGGTTTCTGCTATCTAATAAGGGACAGACCTATTGCTTCTCCAGTGCAATTCCTGAAACCACACAGTTACATTAGTGTTGCATGAACATCATGCTGGCATTGCATGAAAATACAGGGTTAAACCACTAAATTAATTGAAATCTAATGCAGCCATTCAAAACATCAGAGCAGAACTGTTTTTTATATCCCAAGTTGCCTCCATTAATTGTGTTGACCAAGAAAAAAAATCCAGGCTTCACAGACACAAAAAATTCTAAGAAGGCCAAAGCACAAGATACTGTCTTGAGTTCTTCCTGAGGCCAACCAAGGCTTCCTGTTATTTACAAATCAAAAACATTTTAGAGACAATCTCTTAATATTACCATACCTATTATTATTCATATGTAAAACAAGGAATGCCTTGTCCTTTTACATTAGCAAAGAAAAATATACATCCACCTCTGTATATCATCCAAGCATTCCCAAAGTATAAGTCCTGTACATAAAGGTAGTGCCGCATACACCCAGACATGGTTGAGCACACGCATACAGAGAGAGAGAGAGAGATCAAATAGGACACAATAGTATACCAAATTTTATAAATAAAAGCCAGTAAATAATAAGATAAGTGTTCCTTCTCTCCACCATTACATACACAGGCCACAATCTTGCTGACCTGTCCCAACTAGAGGAAATGATTGATAGTTGAATGATACATGATCACATAAATGCATCCTATTGATTTAATGGGTTTGCTCTAGTCAGGAATAACAGTGGGATTTAGGCCAAAGAATGCATCTACACTACACAGTTATAACAGTTGATACTACTTGAGTTGCCATGACTCCAGCCTATAAAATCCTGGGATTTGTAGTTTGGTGAGCTATTTAGAGCACTAATACTATCATTGGTCCCAGCAATTACTGCATAGCACTCTAATGCTGTAATGCAGGAGAGAGCAACAGGGCACTCTAGAAGTGAATCTTAAGTATCTCAATAAACAACAAATCCCAGGATTCTGTAGGATAAGTCCCTAATAAGAGTGGCATCAAACTAACATAACTCTGTAATGTAGATAAACTCCCACACTCCCACACACATATACACACACAGAAAAAAAATCTATGTATCATGGCAAATACTTGGAACAACAAATAGTTAACATAAACAGATTTCAAATTCATATTCTTTGCATTTGATTATTAATTCCATTGCTAGGGTTTTGTTTTCCTCTTGTGTTTTCATAATGTGTACAAGTTTTACAAAATGCATGCTGTATTTGTTTAAAAATATAGTTTTGCAAGGATTTGGCCTGGCAAGCAAAAGCAATCCTTCTTCCCCACCTTGTTTCTTTTTTTAAAAAAAAAAGGTTAATACAATCTAATAAAACCTAGCATTTTTTAAAAAAAAAAATCTTATCATGATACACTCCATATATTAATTTGTTTCTGGCGCATGCTTGACTCAGCAAACAGAAATGGAATCCCAGCTTTTCCCCTCTCTTTCCCCCACCCCACCCCTCTTTTTTTATTTTTCCAGAAGCCAAAAGCAGGCCAGAAGACAATTTCTTCAAAGGAAGAAAGGTATAAAAGAAAACCGATACCTGATGCTTAAATACATACTCTTGTTAGTCACATGGCACTAGTAGCAGAATTTGTGCATGCGCACCCATACCTACACAGAGATGCACCTGTGCTCACTCTTTCACACTCTCTCTCACACACACACACAAAGTGACCTGCTTGTGACAGAAGAGAAAGAGTTTGTTAGGTCAAGCATGCCAACTGGCACAGAAAACTTCCCAGCTATGTGTGCAACTTTGGAATTTGAATACCCACTTCCCATCACCTCGAATCTTTTGACTACCGAGGAGGAGGGTTAATGTAAGGCATACTTTGCTGGAAAAAAGAAAAAGAAAAAAGGTTCATCATGCTTCATGCTCCAGAGCTAAGTCTCAGAGGAGGGATGTCTTCCCCTTTGCATTATTTCATGTATCAGCCATTCACCTCTCTCTGGCTCATGCAAGGAATTTCTGTCCCTGTTGTTGTTGTTTTTCTTTTCTTAAAAAAGAACCCTTAGGAATAAAAGATCAAAATCCTGCAAAGGCAAACTATTTCAAATGGACTTCCGCCGTCTCATCAGCCTGTGACTATCTGTAAAGCTGTGTAACCCAGGTGAGATAGAGCTGACAGGGGATGGGAAAAGGCTATTTTTTAATGTGCTTGGTGAGATCTCCTCAATCTTGTAGGAGATGGAATGAAAGTACTGAAGGTTCAGCTTGGAGCTGAAGGAATTTTGGTGGGACATCATCCGGCTGGTGTATTCATGGGACCTGTAGCACATGCATGTACAATCAGACTGGAGGTCAGTAACTTCGGCCTTATACCGAGGCCGACCATGTTGGGAGTCCTCTTGGATGTGAATGATCATGCTGTTGTGGTTCCCTGCCAGGGATGCCCGCTCTTCGGCCTCCCGTCTCTCTTCTTCAATGTTCATGAACAACCTGAGAACAACCAGATTGAGAAATGCCCCAATAACTGTCAATCCCACGAGGATGTACATAAAGCTAAATGCCACATAGAGTGGCTTCTTTTGAAGGGCTCCCTTTGTCTGAAGGGCCACATAGTCCCCAAATCCTATTGTAGTCAATGTGATAAAACAGTAATAGAAGGCCTGGAAAAAACTCCACTCCTCACAATGGGAAAAGGCTGCTGCTCCTATGCAAAGGGTCCCTATGCAGGAGAAGAACCCAACTGCCACCATGTTCTCCATGGATACATCAGTGCTCCTCATCCTGCAGCACTTCTTCATCCGTTGCAAGAGGTACTTGACGAAGGTGTTCATGCGTTCACCAAGGCTCTGGAACATGACCAGGGTCAAAGGAATGCCCAGGGCAGCGTAGCACATGCAGAAAGCCTTCCCAGCATTTGTTCCTGGAGCAGCGTGCCCATAACCTGAAGATACAAAAGACAAAAGAGGACAGTGATTAAGGAGGAAGGAAAGAGTCATTGCTAGTTGAAGTCCTCATCCTAAAGGGTCCATTGATGATAGTGGTGATGATAATGATTGTTGTCGTTATCATTATTACTATTACTGGTTTCACAGTCTAACTGATGTTATTGACTGAACTACCAATTATTCAGATTCCGTCCAAGAATCTAAGAATCAATGATATTTTACTGAATAATGTAGCCCATTCCACATTAGGCCATTTTTTTGTAATTGTGCTACTGTGATTCTATTTATGGTGAGTTCATTTGGATAATTACTCAGGGTCAATGCACACGGCCCGTTTGGGGTGGCAGAGGGCTGCCTCAGGGAGCAGCATATCAGGGCTGCAGCAACCCCATGTCATGGCCC